TCCACCTTCCACTCTTCAGGAGCCACAGGCAGCTGAGTGTCTTCTGCACCACAGTCCTCCTCTCAGGGAAGACCTTGCAGTCAGAAAGAGGGGCCTGTGAGGGACCCCAGACAAGTCTGTTGTTGAAGCAGATGAAGGTGAACTCTTCCATGGGGGACACCCAGCAGGCTCCAGGCTCTGTTATTCTTTCTTCAAGGGGCCTAGAGAGCTTCAGCCCATCATGAGACTCAGTCCAGCAGCATTTCCCTACAAAGTGAAAGTTAGGACCCTGACTAGATACACCACGCTGAACTCAGCCAAAATGTCAAGATGCTGAGGTGCTGAGAGGCTGGGATGCTAAGGTGATGGGGTGCTAAGCTGCTGGGGTTTTGTGATACTGGATTACTGAGATGCTGGTATGCTGGGGTGCTAAAGTACTAGGGCACTGGGTTGTTGGGATGCTCGAATGCTGGGATGTTGGGATGCTGAAATGCTGGGGTATTGGGATGCTGAAATGCTGGGGTGTTGGAATGCTGGGATCTTGGGATGCTGGAGTGCTGAGATATGGGGGTGTTGGGGTGCTGGAACACTATGGTGCTGGGGTGCTGGAGTATTGAGATGCTGGGGTAATGGGTTGCTGAGGTGCTGAGATGCTGCTGTGTCGGGGTGCTGAGATGCTACAGTGCTGGGGTGTTGGGATGGTTGGGTGTTGGGATGTTTAAGTGCTGGAGTGTTGGGGTGCTGGAACACTTTGTTGCTGGGGTGTTGGGGTGCTGAGATGCTAAGGTACTGGGTTGCTGAGGTGCTGAGATGCTGCAGTGTGGGGTGCTGAGATGCTGCAATGTGGGGTGCTGGAACACTATGGTGCTGGGGTGCTGGAGTGTTGAGATGCTGTAGTGCTGGAATGCTCAAGTGCTGGGGTGCTGGGTGTTGGGATGCTGAGGTGCTGAGATGCTGGACTGCTGGGGTTCTGGGGCACTGGGCTGCTGGAGTGTTGGGGTGCTGGGATGCTGGAGTGCTGAGAAGCTGGGAAAATGGGGTGCTGGAATACTATGTTGCTGGGGTGCTGGGGTATTGAGATGCAAGGGTACTGGGATGGTGAGGTGCTGAGATGCTGCGGTGCTGGGCTGCTGGGCCACAGGCTGTTGAACCCATTTGTTTGCCCAGGGGAAAAATCAGAAGAGAGAGAGAGAATGAAGGAGTCTTCATTGAGTGGGAGGAAGTAATGGAAGGAGCAACATCTTGGAGAGAAGCCAGAGAGAATGGACCTCTGGTTGGGAGAGAGGGCCAGGCTGCAGGCCGGAAGGGAAGAAGGATTCCAGCAGAGTGTGGGCTCCTGGTGTCAAGGCGAAACAGGTTTCTGGGAGGATAGAGTCTGGTACTGCTGAAGGTGCAAGCCCGCTGAGGACTGGGGAGCGTTTGGTTTTATGACCAAGAGAAATTTGGAACTGTGACTAGAGTACTTAGGGGGAAAGAGGCAAGACTGGAGCCAGATTGCTCTGGGTTGAGGCCTGAGTGGGCGGGGAAGCAGGGCACTGCCACTCCTTTGAAGGGTGGCAGAGAGCTGAAGTTGGTGCTGGATAGGCTGTGGGATAAGGGGATTATGTGGAAAGCTGCCGGGGGGCACCTGGCAGAAGAGAGGCTGACAGTATGGTGGCAGGACACACACTGCCAGAAGGAACGAGGGTAGGGTCAGGACTGCCGGGGCAGCGAGGCCAACCTGGGGTCAGGTGGCAGGATGCATCTGGGAAGCTGGTCTGCACTGCAGCCCACACTGGCTCCGCCTTGAGGTTCCCTGTGTGGCTGGGGTAGGAAGTTGAATGCTTTTTATCTGTGGGACTCCGAAGGCTGGCAGAGCTGAGTGGGCACAACTGTGATCCATGAGGCACTCAGACAGGCTGAGGTGGCCCCTCTGGGAGTGCTTCGTTTTCCCAGCGGGTAGGTTCTAAGCAGCAGTTGCTGGGCATGTGGGTCCAACACAGAGCCAGAGGAGGGTGAGTGGGCCTCCTGGCACCCCACCCCTGCTGCCCCTGAGCTCAGTGACAAAGGGAGACAGCATAGCTGAGCCCAAGTGCCTTGGTGTGGCCCTGAGGGAAAGCTGCAGCCTGCCTGCGGCCTGACATGGATGGGACACTTGAGGCAGAGGAACAATAATGGGAGCTCCAGCGAGGCTGGCTCCTGCAGAGCTTCCTGAGGAGTGCTGCCTGAGATGGGCAGTGAGAACAGAGACAAAGTCGGTGACAAGGAATGAAGGCTCCTTCGTAGGAAGGACATTACCCAGACCTATGAGGATATCTCTCTCAGTAGGAAGCAGGAGAGGCTTGTGTGAGCACTGGCCAAGAGCTGGAGTGTTGGGGTGATGACTCTTTCTACAACCCCTCTGTCCCACCTCTGGCTCCTGGACTGGGGAGGTCTGCCTCCACCCCCATTGGACAATCATTGTCCCTTGTCACAGCTGTTGAGAGTGTTGGCAGGAGGATGTTCTTAGAGCATTTTTAGGCTCTGCGGGACATAACAGGCCTGCTCAGAATGCATCCCTTTCTCAGCTCCTGAAAGCCACTGATCAAATTGGAACATTTGGTACCTTAGGGGTGAGCATATCAACTCTCCCAGCCAGTTAGAGGGATAAATGTGACTGATGGTGCATTCCATTGTGACTACATCTGATCCCAACTACTGCTTCAGCTGCACTCCTATAGCACATGGAGGGAGGCGTGCATCCCAATAGCTACCTCCTCACTTTTGTGGTGGTGTGCTCCATCCGTGAAACCTGGGTACCTGCCTACCATGTCCCTGCCTATGAGGTGTCAGGGTCTGGTCAAAGAAGGGCATGTGTGGTCTTCAGCAAGGGAGACAGGGCAGTGGCACAGAGAGTCTAGACCCTCAGGGCACGTCTCCCTGCCCCTGCTCCCAGTGCAGTTGTCTTTGTGGGCTCCCATCCCCTCTGTTTCATCCTCTGTAAAATGAGGGGCTAAGCCCCAAATAACAGGCTTCTATGCCGTGATGCAAAACTACTGGATCTTTCTGACACACAAGGCATCGAGCAGCCTCTGAAAGAACTGAAGCCACTAGCAGGCTTCCTGACTTGGGTTTGCAGGTACTGAATAGTCTCTTGAAAAATAAAAACATAGAGGCATTTGTCTCCTGGCTGTTTATTACAGAATGAAGAAAAAACACACTGGCTCGAAACAGACGCCAGATTTCAAATGTAGAGCGAAATACGAGGTGGCAATTAAAATGTGATTACACAAAGTCTGGACACTGAGAAAAGTTTATAGGACAGTGGGTGTGGGTTTTCTATAACAGACACTTAAATATACATGACGATAATTGCAGATAGAAACCATCAAAGACAAACCCCAAATCAACTATTAATGTTTACAGATGTTCCCCCCCCCCAAACCACAGAGCCTTACATCAAAACAAATACTGAAAGGCTTTAAACCAGGAACAGCTCGCCTTCACCCCGCGAGGGTGAACACAAGCTGGGCTTTTTCTTTCGGTCTGAATGGTAAAGGGAGGAGGATACTCTAGCTCCTCAAGGTGAATTGCTAAGACAGTGCTTGGCTCACACGCTCTCTCTGCGCCTCTCCCAGATCTGGAGAACTCTCTCAGCCTCCTGGTAAAGTGTCTCTGTGGGGCACTTAACGATAAAACGGCTTCTGCTGTAAATGCTCATTAGGAAAGAGCTAGCGGAGACTGAAAGGTTTGCAAGAGAGATTAAGAATCACACAAGGCAATAGGGTTTTTAGTGAACATAGAAATAAATGGCCAAGTGGTTTTCTATTTGGCATTTGTCAACTTGCACAACAACTCTTGGTCACATCCACATTGCTCATTGCATCAAAACCATAAGCAACTCAGCCACCTAGCTTAACAAGGTATCACTGGAGCAAACAACACAGTCTGCATATTTGTAACAATGTATAATAAACACAAAACAATGCATAGTAAACACAACTCTACTGAAACAAAAGCCGCCGCTTTATTTACAAAGTCACAAACGAAGTATAAATACTTCTGTCATTAATGTTTAGGAAAACCATTTACAAAATTTTCAAATATGTACACATAGCTTGAAAAATCACCAGCTTTCCATTTCGTCACAGGTAGAGAAGGATAAGCATGGGCTGACAATACCACTCAAACCGTAACGGGGGACAACTGCAGGTATGGATCGACACCACTCCCTAGAGAGATGTCAACACGGGGGTGTCGATGGGCATCTTGCTCAGCTTTAAAGGGCCCCAGCATCTTGGGTGACTCGTCTAGCATTCTGGGCTGTGGCATCTGTGCAGCAGCATGCTGTTCCAAAATGTCATCAATCAGCCTCAAATTGCACACCCAGTCTTCATCTGTGCTCACACTGGAGCCTTTCAAGAGAGCGTCAATGAAATCTACCTCATTGCAGTCAGGTGGCGAAATCAGATCATTTAGTGGGGGTTGGGACTGGGGCAAAAAGTCAGCAAGTGGCAGCTCAAGGAGAGTACCCATTCTGTTGAACGGACCTGGGAACTGGCGGGCGGCAACGGCAGAAGCAGCAGCAGCGGTGGCAGCAACAGCCACATAGCTTGGTGGCTCGATGCCCTGTATGGGGCTCAGGGGACTAAAGCTGGCCATACCCTGCTGGAGGAACTTGGTGGTGTTTGTTACAGGCACTGGGCCCCGCACGGGGCTCTGCCTGAGGCTCTGGCTGCCCAGCAGGCTGAAGCTGGGGTTGTTGGCCAGAGCAGCACTCACCTTCTGGCCAGACCTGCTCTCAGAGGCCATCTGATTGGGAGGCACTACTGCCTGCTGCGCTGGGAACGCTGGGGCTACCAGGGGCACTGTCACAGGCGCCTTGGCAAAGATGGAGTTGCTATCAAAATGCTGCTGAACGCTATTATCCACTTGGCTCAGGGGTGGTTTCCCCGAAACTGCTGTGGTCACAGCTGCTGCCGCTGTGACCCATACACAATTGTTGAACACAGTGGGCATTCTTGGCACACTAGGCTGTCTGAGCTGGTGGGGACTCAAGGACTGGGTGCCCAGGGGGCTGGGACAGAACCCAGGCAGGGGCACTTCTGGTGGGGTGGCCTTGGGACTCTGCGTATGCTGGCAGACAGAGCCAAGACTGTCTAGCGGAGTCTGGCCCGAGTGTGAGGGCATGGGAAAATGGGGGCTGGAGGCAAAAATTCCTTGCTGCTTCCCCAGATTTGGTGAGATCACTCCCATGCCCTCGCAGCTCTGGTGCCTGGTAAGTGGGATAATTTCTGGACTCAGATTGTTCTGAAGGAGCCCAGTTCTGGGTGGCATCATGTGCTGGCTAGATGGGGGGCTTGCCTTGGTCCGGCTACACTTGGAGGTGACTTGTTCTTGGACGGCTACATACAAAAAGAGAAAAGTGGGGATCAGTTCCAAAGGCATCCTCGGCTTGGGCTGCGGCCACTGGAGGGGAGCTCCTGGCCCAGCACTGACTTCTTACCTCCCGCCCTTGCCTCTCTACCGAGCCCCTACTCCCCAATTCCTCACAACTCCCCTCATTGCTCTGCCCTCAGCCTGGACTGCAGTTCTTCTGGGAAGCTGCCCAACTCCCTAGGTCTGTGCTCACCAAGAACAGATGACACTGGACTGAAATGCCAGCTGATTTGCCTCTTCAAGAAAAGTGGAAGCTCCCGGAGGCCACGGCCCATGTCTGCTTTTACACTCAGTGCTCTGTATCCAGGGCCTAGCACTGCCCAGCCTTTGACAGATGGTACATATTTTGTAGAAGGAAGGAAGGGGCCAGGTGGGGTGGGCTGGTGGTGGGGGCTAGCTCAGCCTCTTATCTTCTCTACCTGATAGATGCGACATGGGACAGCAAGTGAGTGTGGTAAGAGTGGGTGCGGATGGTGCCTTGTTCCCCTCTGTTCTCCCCATAGCCTAGGTGGCCTCTGAGCCCAGGTCTGGGGTTGAGATTACATTTGTTCAACTGAGCCATAATGGGGTTCCTCTCTGAAGACTGAAATCTAGGAGTTGACATTCTGGACTCCCTGAGTTCTGAAGAGCCTGGGGTTGGAGAGACACCACGCAGAAGATGGAAGGTCGAGTCCCAGGTGCCTAAGGTGGGGAATGCATCTCCCCTCACTGTCATGAGAGTCTGCTTTAGCTGATATCTACTGTGGCCAATATCTACAGGCACGTTTTTGGAGTGGACAGTGAGGCATGTAGCAATCACATGGTTTACCTAAGGTCAGGTAGGGGAGACAGTGCAGTCAGGGCACAAGCCCAGTGTGTCTGACCCACAGAAGAGTCCATGCTCGTATCTACACCAATGATTCTCTTGCAACTTTTATTATCATGGCATGTGTATGTTTTTCAACTGGGTTACAATCTAGCCTTATAAGGTTAATCTCCTGGAGGCCACCAGCCTTCCTGAAACTTGTCCGTGCTGTCCCTGCAACTGGAGTATGCCCGATGTGGCACTCCAGCCTGGACAAGTGGGACACAGACACCACTGGTATCAGGCCCAAAGACATCTTCCATGAGACTGGAAGAGCAATGGTGTAGAGGTGTCATGGGCTACGATAAAGATGCTGACCACCTGTCTGGGGCAAGCAGCCTCTCCTGTCCCTCAGACAAATTCTGAGTGTTCCCAAGACTACCCTTGGTTTAGTCCCATCTCATCCCACAGGTGCGTAAGGGTTGCTGAATTCCTGACTCCCTGGGTAGCCTGCAAGCTCCATGAAGGAGGAACTATGTCAGGCCTTTTGCTAACTGCTGTATCCCAGGCCAATAAATGTTCATCACATTTATAGCTACCATAGTAGGGTGTGGACCCCTGCTATCTACCTGGGAGCCCCTGACACAAATTTTCCTAAGCAGAGCCTCCCCAACCCCCTTTCCATTCCCTATATGTGACAGGTGGCCCAGGAACCCATCAGAAATGGAAGTTGACAGCAGCAGCCTGGGAATGTGTGTGTGGAAAGAAGGGCAGGATCAGAACCTTGGGGGTGTGGCAGCCCCCAAGTGATTCTAATCCAGATCCTAGGGGGAGTGTCCCTGTCCCATTGAAATAGCTGCTTTAAGGGACCTGACTCAGGGAAATAAGTCTCTTGAATTAAACGGTGATTTTGGAGTCATTTAGACCAGACCTTCAATTGAGATCCTGCTCTTAGAGTTGGATGAACTATTTAATTGATTTTCAGATCTCCTCTCTCTCAATGCTTTCAGAAACACAGACAGTAAGTGCTTACTCTGAAATGAATTCTCACCCCACTTCCACATATGCGCCCTTTGCCCACCCCTTTGGGAACACTGGCCTTAACTGCTTACCTTGAAATTGACTCATCTGTTGTGAGATATATGCATTCTGCCGTTCAGGGGTCATTGCCATAAGACCTGATCTCTGTTTCTCTTGCTAAACAGAAGAGGAAAAAGACAAATTAGATTATAGTTACCAATAAATAATTAGCCTTAGGATCGCTGCATGGGGACCTAGGACTTGGCTTTGGTGTAGCAGAAAGCATGAGTGAACACACCAACACACACTCGCATGCATGCCCCACCCTCTTGAGCAAAATTTCACAGGTATAAATAAAGTAAGATTCTGCACCTGGGTTAAAAACACCAATTGCAACAGCATAGAATGGGGCAGGAGAGACAGAGCTTAATAGCAAGAGCACACAGAAAAAAAAATTAGGCATTTTAGAATATCCATCTGCTCAGGATGGGTCAGCGGTGAGATGCGGTCACCAAAAGAACAAATGTAACATTAGGCTGCATTAATAGAAGCAGAGTATGTAGAAGGAGGGAGGTGACAGTCCTATGCTAACTCTGCCTTGGTCAGACCATACCCACAGGAGTCTGGGCATGCCAGTCGCAGGGAGACCCAGACAGACTGGCTGCATTCGCAGGACGGTGAGCAATGAGAGTGGGGACTGGACTTCAAACTGCCCAGACAAAGAACAGCTGAGCAAGCCAACGATGCTATGTCTGGGACACAGCATACAATGGGCTATGTAGCTGTGGATGCCCAGCCTCTGCAGAGCTGTCACAGGGAAGAGAACGGAGGCTTTCTCCCGATGATCCTGGCATTAGTGGCCGGATTATCACATGGTCAGGACACAGTCTCCAACACTTACTGCCAGCCTCCCGCCCTTCTCCTGACTAGCTGCAGCATGGGCAATTGGGAGGAGCTTCCTGTCTCCATCTGAAAGCTGGCTGGGTGGGCAGGGGGAGGAGGAAGCCAAGCTTCAAGGCTGCCGTTTCAGCACTTAGTCCGGGATCGGCTTGAGGAGCAAAGGGGAAGAACATAGCCAGGAAGGAATCAGACCCCCAGGCCCAGAGAAGGCCTGACTCTCTCTGAGACCCTCAGCCAATTGGTGTCGGACCCAGGTCTGACTCCCAGTCCAGTGCTTGAAGCCTTACCCTGCATAGTGAGGGGAGCCCAGCCATCTCTACTCAACTGCTGCCATCTCTGTCCCCTTCTCAACCACCAAGGCAGCTCTGTCTGGGAGCACACGCTCCAAGTCCACTTTCTGGTCTGCGTCCCCCCAGATGCCAGAGGACTTGATTCTACAACATGGGCTGCCCATGCAGTGCCTGCTTTTCCAGCAAAGGGCTTCTGGGTACCCTTCTCTGAGCTCAGTGGGGTGGCAGGAGTGGGGCAGGGTAGAGACCCAGTGCTTGGGACTGTGCCCGGCTCTCAGTCCTGGCAGCAGTTCCTGGCCTTGGTTCCTGCCAAGGCAAAGAGGACAAACACATGGCACCGGGAAGATTGCACCAGAAGCGATTCCACCAGACTGGGGTTTGCTTTTCCATCCCGCCCTTAGCCTGCTTCCTGTCCTGGTCCCTGCCTCCCCCTCCACTGGAGCTGCTGTGTTGGCGGTGAGGGGTGTTTCTCTGCTGTCTTATGGAGCTGCCTTCTCCCTGCTGAAGCACTGGCAAGGTGGCAGGGGGTGGGTGTGGGGTGGGATCTGCTTTTTCCAGCTGTCATTATACTGAGTGTGTCTCACTCATTATTTCATGTAATCTAGCAACACCCCATGTGGACACTGAGGAGCACGGGGGTCACATGACCACTGGCCAAGGCCACACCGTCGGATCTGCCTTGTGACGGCCAGGGTTGGCGACCGTTTTTGAAGGCAGTCCTTTCGCTTTGGCTCTTCTCCTTGCACCAGCCCCAGGACATCAGGGCAGAAGATCTACAGTCCCCAGCTTACGGCTGTGACAGCAGAGGCTTAGAGAGCTTAAATGACTTGCCCGAGGTAACACGGCTAAGACGTGCAGTGTCTCCTAACTGCAGGCCAGGTGCTTCTGCTGCTTCTGGGGACAGATTCCTGCCTGGCTGGCTAGTTCTAAACGGTCCCTAACTCCATCCCCACTGGTTGTTGCATTAGTTCCATCAAATAACACAATTGTACAGAGGTAGGGGTTAGGGGGCAGGGGCAGATGGAGGCTGGAGAGTGTGATCAAGGAAACAGCAGGGGAAGTGCGGTAAAGTCCAAACGGACGGACCGGACCGAAAGAGAAAGCCAAGCCTGGGGGTGTGCCAGACCCCCGCGGCAGGGCAGGCTTCAGCGGGTGCTGGGGCGTCTTCATTCCAGGAAGCACACATTCCAGAGAACCCCAGAGTCTAATGGAGAAGCTGGCCAGCGTGTCACTACAGAAACTGCCAAGGCTGCACAAGGCTGCTGACTCCCAGCCCAGGTACCGGTTGCCTGCTCTGCAGGACCTTCAAGTCTGAGGTGCCACTAGCAAGCGAGGGCCCTCCACGGGCTCTTCACCTTACGGTGGTATCCTGGGGCACCACCAGTCATTCTGCTCCTACCCTGGTTCTGTTGTCCCAGGCAGAAGGAACCAGAGCGGTTCTCTCCAGGACTCCCGAGGAGGCTGCTTCCTTTGTTTTGCAGATGGAGGCTCCCATCCTTTGTTCTGAATCAATGTGCTCCAAAGATAAGCCCCAAGAAAACAGTTGTTGCCTTTTGACACTGACAATTAGAATCGTTGGAAAATGGAGCAAACAGGAAATGACAAATGGTTTCAGTGATCAGGAGGAAACCGGCCTGAAAGTTGCTGCTTAGTGACTGGGCCACTCGCTTTCTGCTCTCTTAGGAAGGACGGCCCAGGCTGTGTGGCCTTTTACAAACAAAGTTATGAAGGGGGCCATCACATTTTCTAGGGCTGCAATTGTTGTAGCACTAGGTCCTATTGTGCTACGTGACACTGACAAGCAGCACTGAGTTCTGTGCCAGCACAGGTGTGCTTTTCTCATGGTAACCCCCAGACAACTAAGACCTGGCTCTTCCTCTGACACACCCCCTCCCAGACCCACCCCCAGACAAGGGACCACATTCAAAGACAGTCTAAGCCAAGATGGCAACCTCAGAAGTCCTGGGGCTGCCTTTCTGGAAGCTTCAGGCTGATGCCAGGAAGCTGTAAAGCCCCCACCTGTCTCTGGGAGTTGTGTGCTGGGCAGGAGACAGGGGAAAAAGCCCAAAGCCCACTGCTGCCCACTGGCACAACTGGGCCCGTGCCTGGTGCTGCACCAGCTTCTCTCACCAGCCACCACATGCTAATGTCCCCTGCTTACCCGGGCGCAATCACCTGGGTGCTACTTTCTCACTGCTACACGGGAAGAATGATCTCGTTACCAACTTGACCACTTAAGTGGGCAAAAGGGGAAAGGCAGAGGGCAAGTGCTCACAAAACGTTCCTGGATTTCAGCTGAATTCGGGCTGAAGTTCCTTGCCCCAGGATCCTGGGCATCCTGGACAAGAATTCAAATGACATAGCTTCTAGGGGATGGTAGTGGATGGATCCAAAGCCTTGCTTTATAAAGGATGTGGAGGAAGGAAGGAAGGGAGGGAGGGAGGGGGAGAGGGAGAGAGAAGAAAGAAGAAAGAAGAGGAAGAGGAGGAGAAGGAAAGGGAGGGGAGGGGAGAGGAGGAGAGAGAAGGAGAGGGAGGATAGAAGAGGGGCGGGAGGGGAGAGATTATCTACCCTCCATGCTGGGAAACTCCTGTCTCCTTTCCCGTGAGTGCCCCCACATAGAGCCAGCCTGCCATACAGCAGAAGGTGCTCAGCTATCTGTCCCAAAGGTTGAGCACTAGTGTAGGTTTGTTAATTACTCCACAAAGAAAAGCACCTTCTTTCGTACTTTTTGGAAGCCAGAATTAGAAACAACTCATTCACCCTTCTGACTTCCTTTGGAATGACAGGAAGACAGTATACTGCATGGGACCACCATACATTCAAGGCCTGAGCTCTGGGGACCCCCAGCCCCATATGGGTGGAACCCTCTGAGACCGTGGGCACTGACTGCCCATGGCCCATTGATAGTGACAATGTAGACACTGCTACCTGAAGCCTAGTTGGAGGTTGAATGGATGCTCTTAGGAAAAACATTCCCTTCAGTCATCCTTCAGAATCTACAAGGGCTTCCTAAAATCAATGACAGGCAAGTTTTGATTGTTTCCTAAGTTCCTTCTAACTCTCAGAGCCTGTGACTCAGTTTCTCAGAATGCCTGCAGAGAGGCAGGACCATCGGGAGTAATAAGCGCGAATTGGGACGCTTCTCCCAGTGGACTGTTAATGCCAAGATCTGGGCTGGAACCCACTGAACACCCGCCCTTTTGCATTGCCTTGGCTCAATGCCTTTCCCTGCCCAGAATGCAACCAGAGGGATACAGGCCACAGTAACTCTGGGGCCCCTGAACCTACCTTCCCAAGACTCTGACGGGAAGGTATTGCTTACATGACAGTCCAGCAAATTCCTCTGTCACTCAGCTGACAAACATTGATCATGGGTCAGGCTCTATGCCAGGCATGGGGATAACACCATGTGTCTCTACTCTTTCGGACACAAGTAAACCAATCAAAGCAGATCATGTTCTAATGACCACCCAGTAGGGTGAAGGGATGGAAGGTGGGCAGGTGCTGGCAGAAACCTCAGGTCAAGACATGGGACCCCAACAGGGAACTGGAAACTGCCACACCATTTTCTATGTTAGGGGTCTTTCCTTGTCCTTCTGGAGACCTCTCCCATGGTAATAGTGCTGCCCTTAGGTTTGAACTGGTCTGAAGCTGTCACTGGGGGTTGGGGGCTTCACAAAATAAATGCCATTGAAAGCAAATGGTAGAGATCTGCATAAGAAATGCTTTTTACCCTCTGTTTTCTGTCTTTCCACATGACCTGTGACTGCTGCAAACTCTATTCTGACTTCTCCTCAGTCTTGGCGGGTCTGGGAAGAACTCGGTTTAGATGCAGGGAATGATCCTGGGCAAAGGAAACAAATGTCCTTCCAGCTTGTCCTTCTTCTTCCCCTGTGGTGCTTGCATCCTGTGTCCTGCACTGACTCACAGGCTGGGCTGACAAGGTGGCTGTGCTGAGGGAGCATTTAGTGAATGCCAGGCCTGACCCTCAGAGTTTCTCAGGTGGGGCCAATTTCCACGTTTCTTGGAGAAGATATTGGACCACAAGTCTGCTCTGCCCCTTCACTGCTGGTTGAAAGACGCTGGCTTGAGAAGATAGAGAATAGGTGAAGGATGAGAATTCTCAAGGCAAGCTAGCTGAGGTCCTCTCATTTGTGGCTTCTAAGGACAGGGAAAGGCAGAGTAGACCAGGGTGGAAACAGCGACATCCTGAGGGGATGATGTCTGTTGTGCTAAATTCTGTTTCCCTGGCAGCTTTGTGCTGGATACGATTTTTTTGGTTTCAGCTGAAGAGTGAACAGCTGAGGAGCTCTGTGACTCTGAGAGAGAGAGAAATCAATAGTCCTTGAACGGAAAGCACGGCTTGTTCTTCCAGGCCAGGGCAGGCAGGATAAAGAGAACAAGGCTGTAAATACCAAAGCTGAATTTCCATTCAAGGCCAGAATCCTGGGAGGCCCTTTCAGCTTAATGACCATCTTCTGATCACTATCACTTAGCAAATGTTCATGTCTCCAGTTTTCTTTGCAGATAGGGCACACATTCTGTGCACACTGATATTTTATGCACCAGATGGAATTCTCTGGAAAGGCCCCTCTGGCTGGTGTCCATTCACTTGCTCTCATGACCACTAATTCGACTCTGGGGGCAAGTCAAGCCATTCTTTCTAGACTCTAGAATCTAGAGGATGATCCCAACTCACAGCCCTCTTGGACAAGCTTGGTTTGGATTCCTTCTGCCTGTACTCCCCAGACTGCCAGTCCTCCAGTAGGGTCATCCAACTTCCTGCTTCTAGAGTGTGGGAGTCCTGGGCGGGGTGTGGAATCCACAGCAGTCGGCTGGCAGGAGAGGCAGTTCCCAAGCACCCACTAGGTGCCAAGGAGGCAGGTATCAGGTGCAGGGCTTCGGAGGTGCAGAAGTACAGCCCCCGTCCCCTTCAGGTTCCCAGTCTGGCCGCAGGGACAGACAGGCAGGTATGGAAACAGGGTACTGGAAGGCGTATAGCAGAGGGAGAGAGCAAGTGCACCCTGGACAATCCCCCACTCATTTCCCTGGAGATGGGGCTGAGGCACCTGGAGCGCTCTGCTTGCTCAGGTTGTCCCTTTGCCAAAGAATGCCAGGGAGAAAGTTGAGAACAAGCAGGCCCAGGAAGCACTAGAAATCCCTCATGGGTGGACAGAGCTTTACCTTTGGAGCTGTCACCTCCTGTGTTCCTCCCAACAACCCTGTGAGGCAGGCGGCAGGCTGAGCAGGGGACTGTGCCGCGTTGACAGATGAGGAAAGCGAGGCTCAGGGGGAAGTGACTTACCTGCAGCGTCGCAGCTAGGCAGTAGTGGAGTGGGCACCTGCCTCCAGGCCTTCGGATCCCAGCCGCCCCAGGGCGCTGCCTCTGAGGTGCTGTACGAGGAGGTGACTCGGGCCAGCTCATGAGCAAACGAGCTGCCGGGCAGGAAGGACTCGCTCCCCAGGGCCTGGCAGGATGGGGGCTGTCGCCCGAGGCTGACCTTGGGGGGCCTGGCTTCCCCAAGCTTGCAGGCTTTGTCTACATGAGTCTACAACAACCGATTGAACAACCCATCAGCTGCTTGGCCACAAAACGGTTCCAACTGATCTTGTCAACTGCCCTGACTGCCTAGCTGAGTGGTTTGGGTGTTGTGCTTATACCTACCAACTGGTTTGGTGAAACAAAATCAAATAGCTTTGTAATCTTAGCTTGTCTTGGGTCACAGACTCCTTTGAGAACCAGTTACAAGCTATGGTTTCTCTCCACAGAAAAAGCACTTGTGGTGTCTCCCCCTTTCCAGCCCATCAACATTTTACATCTAATTTTTGGGTTTTTTCTGGACCACTTAATACCCATCCATGGATCTCATGTGACGACTCTCCTGACTTGCACAATCACTGTCTTGTTGAAAATGGGAATAAAGCTAAGTCAGATAGCTGATTCATCAGCAATGACTTTGACTAAGCCTGATCCCACCCACCCCACCCCACTGACCACCCCCCCCTCAACGGAGCACACAACTCTAAACTGGTTTGTAGGTATGTGTGTATAAACACGCTGAGGAATCTGCAAAACCAAATGGTGAGTGCAAAACCAAACAGTCACGAGTAAATCTCATAACAACATATGCTGAGCTGCAGCCCCACTAGGACCCCAGGATTTTAGGACTTGTGTATGTGTGGAGCCTCCCCTTTCTATCATGCTTTAGAAGACAGGGATTTCACAAGAATTGAACATATTGAACACATAACCCATTTTTTTCAGCCAAAAGCAATTAAAATAACCTCACACTTGATATCCATGTCAGCAAAAGCTGCAAAACGCAAATGGGCAGCTGCTAACAGCTCTGGCACCCTGACGAGCACACCAAGTGCTTAGCAACAGTGGTGTCCAAAGGACCAGGTGGAAGCCTGCCTTGATGAGAAGCAGCACCTCTCCTCTCCTGCTTTAATACCTGAGCTGTGAGCGATCATCTATGTCCACTAGCAAACATCCCAGTGGAGAAAACACTCCTACCCGAAATCTAAGCTACATAGTTGGAATCACTTCAATTTATTGCAATAAACACCTACTAAACACCTACTGTGGGCAAGTCTTTGCAATGGATAATAGTTCAGTAGATATTTTGATGTATTATTTGAAATAACAATAAAAATTGCCACCGATGAATTTATTGAGCATTTGCTGTGCTTTAGGCACTAACCCAGGTTCTTTACATATTTGGTCTCATTCACTGTTTAAACAGCCATCTAAGAGAAAGGGATTATGATTTTACAAATGAGGCCACTAAGGCCCAGAGAGGTTAACTAAGTTGCCCAAAATCATACAGCCCATTAGCAGCAGAGCAGGATGCAAATCCAGTCTTGCCTTGTTCCCAAGTCCACATGTCATTTGCATTGGTATGGATGTGTGCATGTGTTTAGTCATCAGCAAGTTACATGACAAGCAAGTTTTGAAACGTAGAAACTTAAAATGGGCCATTAAGAAAAGTACAGGCAAGGTTTTCCAAGGGGAGGTGTGGATCTCCGGACAAATTTTTAAGAACAAATTATAAATACTTAAAAATGGGAATAAGAAAACAACCTAACTACCTGAACAGTTTTAGGGATGACTCATGCCTACCCTCTAAAACCCAAACAAAAACAACAAAGTCAAGAAAACCCACGAAATCTTAGCAAGCAAATTCTATGTACTTGTGAAAAGGATTTCTTTACCATTCTAATGGGATTTATACCAACCAGAGAGGGCTCAGTGCCCCTCTTGTGGGCTGGTTCATGACTACAGAGCTGAGCTCACCAGCCATCCACAGCTTCATGTTGTCAAGCTCCAGTGTGTCCTTGGAGGAAGGCTATCTGGGACATGAGCAGAGACGTTGCATTTTACAGTGGACAATTCTTTCTGCCTGCCTATCTAGCTCCCTGATAACTGTAAACACATTTCATAACCACATTGGAGTTTTCAAGACCTCAATATGCAAATATTACTCAGGTTCTGATTACTTGTCTGCTCCATGACAACACACTCTAAAAGCAATGAATGGAGATTATTTGTAGAGAACTGAAGCGTTTTAAGCTTTTGCTCAGGAATCCCTGGTAGCTTCATGTGACTTGCAGAATATTAGTGATGGGTCAAGAAGCAGGACCCCCCATCAGCATTAACATACGCTTCCAGTGCCTCAGTAGTCCATCAGGCAGAAAAAACTGCAGATGGCACATGGAAATGACCAGCGGCGGAAGATACCCCAACAGCGTGGGCAGTTCTATTTCAGCAGCAATCAAGAGGGGGCTTGGAGCCACTCAATCAAGTGGAGCAGGATGGGAGCAAGCACTGTGCAGACCAATGCAATCCCCAGTTAAAACAAAATAAATAAAAGAGATGAAATTCAGTCTCTTGACTGACTGAATGGGAGCTTTATAGCTGATGCTTGTGTCTTTTCTCCATTTTATTTAATTAGGAAAAGAAACTGCTTATCACACACTCTAAGTGTGAGTTATGACCTCCAAAGAGAAGGTTGTTAGGAACATTTCAACTTCTAGAAGTTTCTAAACATAAGGCAAATCCATCTCTATCTTTGGGATCACTGCACATCTCAGAAATGCAAATAAATCAGTAATTGTTGGGCATAATTACTAGCTCGTGGACTGACAAATTGTACATGATTTCAAATCTCATAAAAGTAAGCCATGGGACAGATAGAATCTGATAGTGCTGCCCCATTTCCTGGAGGTCACACCTACTCATCTTCCTGGACCTGGGGCTTCTCATGATTGTCAGAGAGCTTGCTGGAACCAGGTCAGCCCAGTTTCCCTTCCCCTGAAAAACCCTCCAATGACTCTCACCAGACCAGAGATGCAAGTGGAAGCACATCCACCCTCTCAGAAGCCAGGTTTTGCATTTCCTAATGTCACGTACCTCCAGTCATGCCAATCTCCCTGGAGCTCTCCAGACAGGCTGCCATGTGTGTTTGGTCCTCTGTGCTTGTGCTCCTCGGTTTGCCAAGCCTGGTCTGCCCTTTCTCCATGATTGTACTCTGAGAATTCTGTGTGTCTTTCAAGATGTAGCTCCTCCACCCTGGAAATTCTGCCTCTCGTTTCAGGTCCAGCTCCTGTGACTGAATACCCTTGGCTGACTGAACATTCTTGCTGGCCCAAGTCTTAATCCTCTCTAAATCTCTCTGGTGCCCAGACAGTATCCAGCCTGGGCAAAGGGCTCAGCAAATACTTGCAAAATTCAATAAACTTTACTATGTTGTTAGCTTGGCATGATGTTCCAGGCATTTGTGAGATTATAATCTAGCGAGCATTGGGCTAGTCTTTTTTTTTGAGATGAACGTCAATGATAAACTGAGCCTTTACTCTCATTTTAGCACATCTACTCATCTCTTTTCAATGCTGGTGGGTTTATAAAACCCATCAGTAGAACAGAGAGTGATCATAATCATATGGTGAAAATAACATCAGCTAACACATTTACTGAGCATGCTTTAGTGTGCTGGCACTGAACTGTGGGCACACATGAATTTGAGATGTTGTTCCTAGCTAATAAGATGAGGAAGTGGAGATGGGCTTATGCAGGTCACACAATGGCAACGTGGGGTACAGAAAGAAACCAAGCTAGAAACCAAGCAACCCCTGGGTTTGGAAATGCATGGGCTCCTTCTCTGCACATAGCAAGGAGCAGTCAAGTGCTTCTCCTTCTTTCATTCTGAAATAACTCTGCATTGTTGGCTATTCTGTGACACTGCTATTCTGTAGCTCAAATGGCTCTGGTGCAAGGAGCTCAGATTATGACTAATCCCCACAAATATTAAGCTGCTTTGCAAGAAGTGGATGACTGCTTTGGCTTTATAAATTATTGACTAGATTGGATATTGGTCCAATCTTCACTCTGGTGGTTCAGAAGAAGGCATATGCACATTTGCAAGGTTACGGTAGTGCACTGTAATTCCATTGGCTTCTGAGAGCTTGTAGGGCTCTTGACTTAATCATTCTGGAATTTAGGTAATGGATCCCCAAAACTGTTTTTTCTTTTTCTGGTCTTTACTAACCAAGTGACAGAAGTGAGCAGAGAGAACCCAAGAAAGCTAACTAGAGACTTGAGTGTGCCAATGACTCTCAGAGTCCAAGGTCCTCTGTGACTGCACTGACTTCAGAAGCCAACTTAGTTGTTCAAGTCACTCGTGAGGTTACTATACCCAAAATCCAGGTTCTTCCACAGCTCTGCCTTCACCTCTTTGGGCTATCTGGCTTCTGGCCAACATGGTGAAACCCCGTCTCTACTAAAAATGCAACAAGTTAGCTGGGTGTGGTGGTATGTGCCTGTAGTCCCAGCTATTTGGGAGTGTGAGGCACTAGAATCGCTTGAACCCAGGAGGCGGAGGTTGCAATGAGCCAAGATTATGCCACTACACTTAGGTAGTGCCAATCCTACCCATTTGGTGGATCTGTTCTGTAAATCTGCATTTCGTAAAAGTTTTCTTGGAGCAGGGTACCCCCTAAGCTTGGAAGAGTTTAGGGTTTTCTGCAGTTTTCCCTCCACAAATGTATATAATTTAACTTTAACATTTCAAAATATAAGTGTTTAGGGGTGATTAAAATTGACTGGGTCCAAAATCAAGTTCACCTCATCACTTAAATTCTCAGATTTGAAATTTAATCACAAAATAAAGTTCAACTGATAAATTGCTACTTTGACAAGGGGAAAAATAACCCAATAACAGAAAAAGGTAGAACCCATAATATATAAAGAAATGAAGGAATTACTATCCCCTGGGCAGTTACCTCACTGTGGCATATTCCTGTGGATATCCCATAGTTCTTGGCATAGAGTGAATCAGCAGTACTCTTCCCACTTCTGACATTGAGGCTGTGGGACATTTTCACAGTGACCAAGGCTGGCCCGTTGTCAGCAATGCTGGGTTGTGAGGTTGGTGGGCCACTGGGCATCGTGCTACTTGGGGGAGCATCAGGGGCTGGGTAAAAGGGGAAAGGCATCAAGGCCCTCCAGAGTCTAGCATTTCAGTAGCCAACAGAGGCCTGTGGCAATTGT